TGTTGACATCGGAGGGATCGAGTGTAGGTTTTTCGAGAAGGGGTGCAACTCTCGCTCTCTTGAAGATGGAAGGGACATAGCCAGCGGTCAAGGATGAGTTGATGAGCGAGGTGAGGTAAGGGAGAAGGTCACCGGAGATGGTCTGGAGAAGAGAGGAGGGGATAGGGTCAAGTGGGCAGGTTGTTGGGCGGCCGGCCGTCACAAGTCGCAAGATTTCATCTGGAGGGAGAGGGGAGAAAGAAGTCAAAGCATAGGGTAGGGCAGTGTGAGCAGGACCAGCAGTGTCATTTGACTTAACAAACGAGGATCGGATGTCGTCAACCTTCTTTTCAAAATGGTTGACGAAGTCATCCACAGAGAGGGAGGAGGGGGGGGGGGGGGAGGAGGATTCAGCAGGGAGGAGAAGGTGGCAAAGAGCTTCCTAGGGTTAGAGGCAGATGCTTGGAATTTAGAGTGGTAGAAAGTGGCTTTAGCAGCAGAAACAGAGGAAGCCCTGTTCTGAGAGCTCGCAATGAGTCGTCAAGCCACGGAGCAGGAGGGGAGGACCGAGCCGGCCAGGAGGATAGGGGACATAGAGAGTCAAAGGATGCAGAAAGGGAGGAGAGGAGGGTTGAGAAGGCAGAATCAGGAGATTGGATGGAGAAGGATTGAACAGAGGGAAGAGATGATAGGATGGAAGAGGAGAGAGTAGCGGGAGAGAGAGAACGAAGGTTGCGACGGCGCATTACCATCTGAGTAGGGGCAGAGTGAGTAGTGTTGGAGGAGAGCGAGAGAGAAAATAGTACAAAGTAGTGGTCGGAGACATGGAGGGGAGTTGCAGTGAGATTAGTAGAAGAACAACATCTAGTAAAGATGAGGTCAAGCGTATTGCCTGCCTTGTGAGTAGGGGGGGACGGTGAGAGGGTGAGGTCAAAAGAGGAGATGAGTGGAAAGAAGGAGGCAGAGAGAAATTAGTCAAAGGTAGTCGTAGGGAGGTTAAAGTCACCCAGAACTGTGAGGGGTGAGCCATCCTCAGGAAAGGAACTTATCAAGGCGTCAAGCTCATTGATGAACTCTCCAAGGGAACCTGGAGGGCGATAAATGACAAGGATGTTAAGCTTGAATGGGCTAGTGACTGTGACAGCATGGAATTCAAATGAGGAGATAGACAGATGGGTCAGGGTGAAAAATAGAGAATGTCCACTTGGGAGAGATGAGGATTCCTGTGCCACCACCCCGCTGACCAGATGCTCTCGGGGTATGCGAGAACCCATGGTCAGATGAGGAGAGAGCAGTAGGAGTAGCAGTGTTTTCTGTGGTAATCCATGTTTCCGTCAGCGCCAAGAAGTTGAGGGACTGGAGGGTAGCATAGGCTGAGATGAACTCTGCCTTGTTGGCCGCAGAACGGCAGTTCCAGAGGCTGCCGGAGACCTGGAACTCCACGTGGGTCGTGCGTGCAGGGACCACCAGGTTAGAGAGGCAGCAGCCACACGGTGTGAGGCGTTTGTATAGCCTGTGCGGAGAGGAGAGAACAGGGATAGACAGAGGCATAGTTGACAGGCTACAGAAAATGGCTACAATAATGCAAAGGAGATCGGAATGAAATGAACTAAACATCTGGGAAAGCGAGAGAGCGGGGCCTCCCTCACTTACGTTTCACTGAAACACACAAATATAACTCTCCCAACTTCCACCTCAGAAACTATAATTGATGTAAACTACAGCGGTTCAATGTTTTCTAGGAATATACTAACTTAGTTTATTCAGCTAGCTAACTTGGTGCAGTATTCTTCCGTGAAAAACCGTCCAGGGCACCGAATCATATGACGCCACAGCCAACTAGCATGCCAGCCTCCAACAACACGGTTTATCACCAATACTCGGCCACAACAAACCACCAGTGTGTCAACACGCCAAGAAGATCATACGTGTCTGTGTCTAATGTTGTGGGTTAGTCCCGACAGCTTGAGCGAGTCCGTCGTCAACTTATTCAGCCAGTTAGTTAGCTAGAATAGTTAGCATACTAGCTAGCCATTGCTTTCTGCCAACGAAAAAACCCCTCCAACCACGGCACGAACACACAGAGAGAGCCAAGCTAACGTTAACTAGTCACCCATGTCCTGAATTCCCTTGAACGACTCTGTAGGTTTTAACCCCTAGCAGCTACTGTTAGCTAGCCAAGTGCAAAGCTAGCCACTGAATTGACTCAGCCAGTTCGCGTCTGTTCGCTAGGTCGTTCCAGCTATTGTTTAGTTAGCTATCCAGGTAGCAACAAGCTAGCTACATTTCGAGCACAGTAGCTACTTACTACCTAACGTTAACGCTTCAGACAATTATGTTAGAAAAACAACTGAATGGTAGGCATTATTGTATGTAATTATTGTAGGCAGCTAGCTGGTGTAATTACAGGCACTCTCAAGCGTGAAACAACTATCCACAGTTGCTAATAGTTACCAGTAGCTACCCGCTAGCTAGTCCAGGTAGTGGGTTAGCTAGCCTCGTGCTTCACCGGGCTCAGCCGAATACAATACCTACAATAATTACATACAATTACCCATGATAACTACCTACAATACCTAACTACAATCTAACTACATAGTTTAAGCTTTACTCTACACCATATAAGCCATATAAGCCAAGCTTACCTCCCGCCAGAGAGAGACACAACCTCACCCGATGACGACGGCCACAAAGGGGATGCCGCCGTGAAATTCGAGGCATTATCAAGTGCTTGCCAAATTGTGAATGAGAGACTAATGAAGTGTGTACAGCCTGCGCCAAAAAAAAGCAGAGCTCATGCCTTTCAAGCGACTTCTTTCAAATCATCATTACAGTCGCATCATGCAGCCTTACAATGTATTAAAAATCAAAACATACAGCCCAACGTTTGTAGAACAACTAAAGTTACATTAATAACTCTAAATTAAGCATATAGGAGTACCTATTTCTTTGTTAACCGCTCAACACGGAATAGCCACATGTGCGCACTCCCTCAAATCGTTTGGAGAAAATATTTATATTTTATTCAGCATTGTTCAATTGTATTCTTCATACTATAAAATAATATAAAACAATGCCACAGAATTCTAAGCAATTCTTGTCTGCTAAATGAACTAGTGTAGCCCACAGCCATTTGGCATAGCCAGATCAGGACCTAACATAAGGACAACTCAGAGTATGCCATTCTGTTCTTCTGAAATGGACTACATTTTCTTCATATCACGCTTCTTTAGACCTGTCTAAAATAAATAATGGCTTTATTGTGAAGGTGTAGACTATATTACATGGATTTATTAGACTTTTTTAAATGTAGATGTTCCAAAGGTCTGCATCAGTGACTTGTAGGCTATGTGTGGAAGCCAGGAGATGCTAAATGTGTTTATGTTAATTAACGGTCAATTACCATGAGACCGACAGTTATTTGCTTGACAATCACCGGCTGAATTTCGTGACTGCCACAGCCCTAGTTGCATTTGATGTGAAAACCTTCAGGAAACTCAGGAAGCGGCTATTTGTGAACGCAGTGAAGTGCTCAGTTATGCATGCAGCGGCTAGCTCATATTTGAGTCATCATAAACTCTCTGATCTGAATAACAACTTAATGTAGCACTCAATCAGTAAGCACTTACAACAAATACAGGTACAACTTCAATGCCACACACACGAAGGAAAAAAAGGACAAAGAGAAAGCACTTATTGTGCATAAAACAGACTGGAAACCACATATTCTAACCACATCTCTCTCTCTCTCTCTCTCTCTCTCTCTCTCTCTCTCTCTCTCTCTCTCTCTCTCTCTCTCTCTCTCTCTCTCTCTCTCTCTCTCTCTCTCTCTCTCTCTCTCTCTCTCTCTCTCTCTCTCACACACACACACACTGGATAGAACACAGCAGCCCCTATCTGGCTTGTCCTCTATCAGAACCAACATGGTGCCCAATTAAAGCACATAGATCTATGTAAACCCTGCTCCATCAAAAGGTTGTCACCACTCCCCATCCCCTCCCACATACAGCCATGTATACAGCCCTCAGACAGCCCTGCACTATCCTCCTTTCTTCAGCTGGGCGGCTGTGGTTCTGTGGAGGTCATTGCTAATCCTGGGGGAGTTCTCACATTGTGTCTCAGCAACCAGTGGGTCAGAGCCATTCAAAAGACAGGCTTTAGTTAAACATCCATTAGCAGGCCCCTAGATGCTCCTATTGGTCAGAGTGACTGAGCGCTCAGGGGTGGGAGGGTTTCTGTTGGAAACGGTTTCTCCCACAGCTGTTCAGTGTTACATCATTAGTCATCTGCTCCATAGAAAGTGTTACCGTACAAAGGCACTCTATGGGGGCAGTATTTGGGGTGTGTCGGTTCACATTAGCAGAGGGGAGGTGGAAGAAAATAATATATATTTAATTACTGTGAAATGGCTGTGTTGTCCTATCCTTTTCACCACATCCCATTGACAAAGGGCCAAACCCAACGTCTACATGTGGAAACTGGAAGAGCAACAATATGGAGGAGAGGTTTGCAAGTTGGCTCTGCCGTCAGCTGTTGACATATGCCACAAACATCCTTAAGGTATTGTCCGCTCTCTCCAAAGCCTGCTCTGATGAAGAGCACTGTCCACTGGTGGCTGTGTGTGGGAGTATAAGAACACTGAGCCTGGGAAAGAGACCAGAGCGTGTGTTACAGAGGGATGCTTCATTAGGCTGGTCTGAGTGGACATCCTCTGTTAAAATATAGATAATGTATCTAATATTACATTACAACACTGTAACAACAGCGTTATAAAGTAACAACAGCGCTGGCTAGCATTTCAACATACATACCACAAATTGAAGCCAAGACAAAGCTGACCTAATACAATCTACTTATTCATTGCCTTTGTAGTCAAACTGAAGTAATTCAATCCCATTTATTCTCTTAAATGTAACAATATATCCATATGAATCTGCTAGTTTCATATAAATCTCCAAGGTTTATTTCAAGCTTGGAGCGGTTGGAATAAAGCAGAAGGGTTTCCGTTGGACATCCGTGACCGTAAAGTCATCTTCTAATCTTCTTCTAGTGAGCAGCTCAGGGAAGCCCTTGCAATGGTCAATCTCTCTTTCATACAGCAGGTCAGTGGCATCTCCGATGACCACCTCAGCCTTGGTGAACACCTCCAGGCCCCCCAATACGTGTCCACCCGCCGTCTTCCCCTCAGTGTTCTCACCAACTGATTCCACATCATATCCTCATTCTGCTGGTGTTCAACAAGCTTTTGAGACCAGTTCTCCCCTGGTCCCGTGTAGCTCAGTTAGTAGAGCATGGTGCTTGCAACACCAGGGTTGTGGGTTTGATTCCCACGGGGGACCAGTACGAATAAGGTATGAAAATGTATGCACTCACTACTGGAATTCACTCTGCATAAGAGCGTCTGCTAAATGATTAAAATGGTGTTGGCCAGGCAGATGTGGAGGTGAGCCTCCTTGTTCAGCATGCCCACGATGTCAAAGCACTTCTCAAGATGAATCACCTGGAAACAGGATGGAGGAAAATACAATTTATGGTGGAAGTAGTTGTACAGTATTACTTGCTAAACCTTTATCTAACCATGGAGTCCAATTGAGCTCAGAGGACCTTTTTCCGAAGGAAGACCGTAGGATTACTATATTATGACCATTGTGTACTGTACATTAGAGTCAAAGGCCCTTTCATATTTTCCTTTGATGTCTTGCCAGACATCCCTATACCACTCAGTCCCTACCCAAACCCTGTGAATTCTGTGGAGGCACTTCCAAGAATTGGTTCTGTCCCAAATGGCACCATGTTCCCTATACAGTGCACTACTTTTGACCAGAGCCACGTGGATTGTTTTAAAATTTACAACAACAACTAACAGGCACTTCACCAGAGGCATGACGGACGACTGCCAACCAACATCTCTGCCAAGTACCTCATTGGTATTCCCCGCAGTGGCATTTGCCAGCCGGAGCATTGCCTTGGTTACGCTGCCCACACAGGTGATGATGAATGCCGCTTTGAGTTTTCTCTCCTCCACGAATGCCAGCAGGGAGTCCAGCAGCTCCTGTCCCAGCCCCAAGTGCACCGTGTGGACCCTGAGGGCCGAGCCTGCAGATCCCTGAGAGAGAGAGAGACGTGAGAGACGAGAGAATTGTGAGAGAGAGAGATGTGAGAGAGAGAGACGTGAGAGAGAGAGAGAGAGAGAGAGAGAGAGAGAGAGAGAGAGAGAGAGAGAGAGAGAGAGAGAGAGAGAGAGAGAGAGAGAGAGAGAGAGAGAGAGAGAGATGTGAGAGAGCGAGATGTGAGAGAGAGAGACATGAGAGAAGGGTTGAGAGAAATGCCTAAAGAAGACACAAAAGTGGAAGACGGAGAGAGGAGTTGCGGGTGGTGTTTTGTTTCAAAACAAAACCTATTTTACAGTAATTTGTCCATCTCTTGTTTCACCTCAGTGGCCTTGTCAATCCCCCTTGTTTTACTTAGAGCACCTCTGACAGTCAAAAGGCCTGTGCTGGCTGGGCCACCTGGAGCTTTGCCTTTTCAGCCCTGTCCTGGGTCCTGGACTGGTGACCAGCTGTGTCATTGTAAAGCCCCCAAACTTTATTCACTCCCTCCCAACCCCTAGCAGCCAACGCTTCTCTCTCCTTCTCCCTCTGGGGCCACACTCTATTGCTCATGGCCTGGCTTGATCCAAAGATGTTTTTCAGAGTCATTGAGCCCTAGAAGTCCATTAATCACAGTTCACATGTTGGGTAAAGGGGAACAGAGGGAGAGGAGAGGGGGGAAAGGGGGGAGGATGATTGAGGCGTGGACTGGAGAGGCACACTCGCTAGGATGGTGGTCCATTCAGGTCCTTAACAGGATCATTACGGTTAACTAATACGAGCCTGACCCCATAACCTGCAGTAAAGACATGTGCCAGTTTATGCAAATTAGTTTATCACCACCTCTGCGTTCTCGCCAACTGATTCCACATCGTATCCTTATTCTGCTAGTGTTCAACAATCCTGACAGAGCAGCTCTGTGTTTACAGAAATAAACCATAGCATCAAGATGCTTTTCTTAAAGCTATCAACAGCTAGCCTCATTCAACCAGCCTGATCGTGCGAGCTGCACATCCTGATACACAAACGGAAAGGAAACGTGAGCGTAGCGGTCAGTCGGGTTTCACCAGGATAATCAACAACAACCCTTTATCTATGATAAATCATGCTGGATGACCATAAGCCAAAGAGTTAGTATTGGAAGGTTAGGATCCATCCTGTAAGGGAACCAGCCTTCAGAATTAGTATGTATGTGGTTCAACTCAGAAATCCACAACAAAGGACCACCTGGCAAGCAGCACATTACAATAAAGGAAAGGGAGGATGTTCTGTATTTCTCTCTTTCTCCAAATCCTTCATTCAAACCAGCAGCTCCCACCCTGAATTATGTTTCATCCTTTCTTCACCCAGCAGGAGAGAACATTCCAGAATGCAATATCCATCCAGGGGAGGATGAGGGGAGGAGTCTGACTGGATTATGGACAAGAATGAAAGGAAAAACATTTGCTTCATTGACATGAGCATTTCTAAATGTTAATGTATTTTGTCCAATCATTACCTAGCCCCTATTAAAATCATTATAGGCTATTTATCATATCATATCATAATGTTTACTATGGATGGATGAAGGGGGGGAAAAATCCATACATTGCTACTGGTCTCGACGCTCATATTCTTACAGGTATAATACAATAATTTAAGGGCAGAGGAAGTTGCACAAATTTTGTAGCTATGTTTTAGGCACATGCAGCATCTCTGCTCTGCTGCTCACATTACTGCTCAGCTGATCTTGACATTCCTTTGGACAAAAACAACATTTTCCTTTTGTTGTATAAAAGCCCATTATAATTGAATTTAGAATCCTATAACTTTAATTAGATATACAAAGACATTTTATTGATCTGCCAGTATTTTCATTTAGAGATTCTGATAAATTCTTTGATGTTTCCTTTCATGTGTCCTACCAATTATTATTGGATTATTCACCATGGCAACTAATTGTTAGTATAAAAATGGAACTTACTGAGTTCTGTTGGCTTTGGTGGAGATCAGACCGTTTTCATTTGCAGGAATATTTGTGTGTTTTTGACCAAATGTAATCCAGAACAAATACTTATTTAACTTTTATAATATTCCTGTTGCTATTGTTATATGTAAATACAAGACATTTGTATGTAGAGGATAACTTTCTTCACCAGTTCTCTTACCATTTTGTACAGTAATGTGATTAGCCTACCAGTTGGTGTAACTGTAATGGTAATTCTCCTGAGAGGAATTATGGTGTTATTTTTCTCTTAATGTAAATTGTGTATAGAGATTGCTGATATTACTGTTTAAAGTGATATTGTTTATTGGATTTACATTGTAGTAATTTTCTCATTCTTTTATCCTGTTTTTCCTCTGTACACAGACCAAATGTATACTCTGTTTCATCATTAAACTCCTAGACTGGGCTTTTGAGTCTGTCTTTGCCCAGAGTGCAGTCCGGTTTCTGTTTACTCCCAGTGGCCTATCCACACATTAGAGAGTACCAGACTCCATTTAATTTGTAGAAGGACAAATATTAATATTAATATACAAATATTATATGTGCATGTGGTGTGCATACAGTGTGGAGTATTTGATACACTGCCGATTTTGCAGGTTTTCCTACTTACAAAGCATGTAGAGGTCTGTAATTGTTATCATAGGTACACTTCAACTGTGAGAGACGGAATCTAAAACAAAAATCCAGAAAATCACATTGTATGATTTTTAAGTAATTAATTTGCATTTTATTGCATGACATAAGTATTTGATCACCTACCAACCAGTAAGAATTCCGGCTCTCACAGACCTGTTAGTTTTTCTTTAAGAAGCCCTCCTGTTCTCCACTCATTACCTGTAATAACTGCACCTGTTTGAACTCGTTACCTGTATAAATGACACCTGTCCACACACTCAATCAAACAGACTCCAACCTCTTCACAATGGCCAAGACCAGAGAGCTGTGTAAGGACACCAGGGATAAAATTGTAGACCTGCACAAGGCTGGGATGGGCTACAGGACAATAGGCAAGCAGCTTGGTGAGAAGGCAACAACTGTTGCCGCAATTATTAGAAAATGGAAGAAGTTCAAGATGACGGTCAATCATCCTCGGTCTGGGGCTCCATGCAAGATCTCGCCTCGTGGGGCATCAATGATCATGAGGAAGGTGAGGGATCAGCCCAGAACTACACGGCAGGACCTGGTCAATGACCTAAAGAGAGCTGGGACCACAGTCTCAAAGAAAACCATTAGTAACACACTACGCCGTCATGGATTAAAATCCTGCAGCGCACGCAAAGTCCCCCTGCTCAAGCCAGCGCATGTCCAGGCCCGTCTGAAGTTTGCCAATGACCATCTGGATGATCCAGAGGAGGAATGGGAGAAGGTCATGTGGTCTGATGAGACAAAAATAGAGCTTTTTGGTCTAAACTCCACTCGCCGTGTTTGAAGGAAGAAGAAGGATGAGTACAACCCCAAGAACACCATCCCAACCGTGAAGCATGGAGGTGGAAACATCATTCTTTGGGGATGCTTTTCTGCAAAGGGGAAAGGACGACTGCACCGTATTGAGGGGAGGATGGATGGGGCCATGTATCGCAAGATCTTGGCCAACAACCTCCTTCCCTCAGTAAGAGCATTGAAGATGGGTCGTGGCTGGGTCTTCCAGCATGACAACGACCCGAAACACACAGCCAGGGCAACTAAGGAGTGGCTCCGTAAGAAGCATCTCAAGGTCCTGGAGTGGCCTAGCCAGTCTCCAGACCTGAACCCAATAGAAAATCTTTGGAGGGAGCTGAAAGTCTGTATTGCCCAGCGACAGCCCCGAAACCTGAAGGATCTGGAGAAGGTCTGTATGGAGGAGTGGGCCAAAATCCCTGCTGCAGTGTGTGCAAACCTGGTCAAGACCTACAGGAAACGTATGATCTCTGTAATTGCAAACAAAGGTTTCTGTACCAAATATTAAGTTCTGCTTTTCTGATGTATCAAATACTTATGTCATGCAATAAAATGCAAATTAATTACTTAAAAATCATACAATGTGATTTTCTGGATTCCGTCTCTCACAGTTGAAGTGTACCTATGATAAAAATTACAGACCTCTACATGCTTTGTAAGTAGGAAAACCTGCAAAATCGGCAGTGTATCAAATACTTGTTCTCCCCACTGTATCTACATTTATATTCAAAGATATTGGGTGATATGTTGCTCCCGTGGAGCCTTGGAGAATGATGCAATGTTAGTAGCCAAACTAGACAGTGGCAATTTTAGCATGTAAATCTTGGTGGGGCAAACTCCCCCCAACATTTTTAGATGCATGCCAGCAAAGCCACTACACACCACAACACTAAACAATACATGAATTGCACTTTAACGGTGACAAACCTAATTGCAATATAACGGAATCCTTACCACTGCTACACCTGGCTATCAGCGGAGCCTTGTCTGGCAGCGAAACAGTTCATTCAGCCTTATTTACTGCCTTTTTAAAATACATAGCTCATATGGCTGACTTGCTTAAAGAAATGTGGTTTAATCTTCGTAAATGATATCATCGGTAGGACTGGTGGAGTTATGTCGCACATGCAGCTAACAAAAACATATGGAAATGTCTGCTCTACCCAAAATTACAACCAAATAATTGCAGCCTTACTGCAAAAGTGGAAGAGGAAAGTTGAAGGGGGAGAAAGTAAGGAACTTGTCTGTCGGCCTTGCATTAAAGAACATAATTGGTTAAGGAAAACTGTGATAAATAAAAAAGTATATCAGTTTCACTTAAGGACCAAAGGATTGACAGCCGTCCCATATAGATTGCAAAATAGTTGGGAAGAGATCTTTGACGTACCGATCCCATGGCATAGTGTTTATGAACTGACACGCAAAACGACACCGGATTCAAAAATTAGA